ATGGTGGGTGGTAAGGTGTGCTATGGTGCTATGTTGATTGATATGATTTGTTATGGTGGATGGTATAATGTGTTCAGGTGTTATGGTGATACAACAGTATGTTACTCCGTGTTATATGACGTTTTGGAGATGTTTCGATAGTATGGTGCATGATACGGTGTGTTACGAAGGTGCTACGGTTTTAATGTATGTATTACGGTGTGCTATGAAGGTGTTACGGTGATATCGCAAGTGTTATGGTGTGTTATGAAGGTGTTACGGTGTTTTATAAGGTGCTACGATAATAATGCATGTGTTACGGTGTGTTATGGAGGTGTTACGACGTGTTACGATGGTGACGGTAAGGATGTTGTTATTGTGTTGATAAGTATAATGATGGTGATGATGATAATGATAAGGATGATATCAATGGTAATGATAATATTTTATAATTAATAATAATGATAATGAATGATAATGATGATGATGATGATGATGATGATGTGATGATGATAAGATGATATTAATGGTAAAGATAATATTGATAACAATAATAATAATGATAATGATGATGATGATGATAGTGATAATGGTAATGACAATAATGGGAATAACTATGATGATGGCGATGGTAATGATAATAATCATGATGATAATGATAAGAGTAATAATGATATGGATGATAATAATGATAACGACAATGATAACAATGATGCCAATGATAAGACTAGCAATGATAATTGCAATGGTGATAATAGTAACTAAATTATGATAATAAGCATGGTAGTAATTACTATTACCATTATCATCATTACCATTACGGGTATTATTGTAATTACCACTATTACTATCATTTCAGTTCTACGATCATTATAATCATCATCATCGTTATTATCATTATCATTCTGTTATCATCATTATCGTTATTATCATCGTCATCATTATCAATTTCGTTAACATGATCATTATCACTATTATCATTATTATCGTTAGTATCATGTTTATTATTGTTATGATTCTTATAATTACCACTACTATCATTGCCGTTGTTATTATTATCATCATTATCGCTTTTCTTATTACTACCACTGATATTATCATTATTATTATTATTATTGCAGTTATTATTGTTATAAATTTCATCATTATTATCATTACTATCATTATTAATTGTTGCTGCTATTATCATTATTATTGTCATTATCATAATTAGTTGTAGTATGATCATCATTATTACCATTGTTATTATCATTATCGTCATTTTTGTTATTATCGTTATTATTTCTATTATCATTATCTTTACAATCATTACCCTTGTTATCATTTTTATTGTCATTACCATTATCATCATTATCATTACTATTATTATTATAATCAATGTCAATAACATTATTGCTATCATTATCATTATCATCATTATTGACATTCTTATTAGTAATAGCATTATTTTTATCATTATCATTATCATCATCATTATTAATAATGTTATCATCGCTTTCATTATCATCTTTATTGTTATCATTATTACTCTTATTACTATCAATATTGTTTTTTTCTGTTACCATTATCATCATTATCATTATTACAATTATCATCATCATTATTATATTCACGAAAACACAAAACAACAGCGATTAAGATGATAATGATGATTATCATGATAACAATGATAACAAGAACAATATCTCGGAACAAAACATTATCAATTGTTCTGTAATAATCGTAATATTAATGAGAGTAATGATAATATAGTCAGTAATATCAATTAGTAATATATGAGAATGATAAAAAGAAAAACAAAAATAATTGTTATTGAATTTCCTCGAGTTGTTAGGGAGTGTGTTGTTATATCTTCTTCTTTCTCTTTTTTTCTGTTCCTTCTTATCCGTCTCGCTTTCTCCTTTTATTTATTGATTTGTTGTTGTTGTTGTTGTTGTTGTTGTCTTTGTGATTATATTTTCTAATTCCTTTTTTCTGTTGTATATGTGTTTGTTTATCTCTCTGTCTATGTGCGTTTGTTTGTCTGTGTTTCTCTGTCTGTATCTCTGTCTCTTCGTGTCTGTCTGTTCAGTCTGTCTCTCTTTGTCAGTCTCTTTATCTCTTCGTATCTCTCTGTCTGTCTCGCTGTCTCCCCTTGTCTGTTTGTCTGTCTGTCTCTGTTTTCCCTTTGTCTGTCTTCCTCTATTTTCTCTTTGTCTGTCTTCCTCTACGTTGTCTCTTTGTCTCTCTGTGTGTCTCTGTCTATCTCTCTGTTTCACTGGATCTACGTGTCTATCTGTCTGACGTTCTTTGTCTCTGTCTGTCTATCTATATGTCTATCTGTCTGTCTGTTTCCTTTAATTTCATTCCTTTCTAACTGCCAATCTGTCTGCATCTGTGTGTTTATGTCGATATGTGCATGTGTGTGAGTATGTGTGTGTGTGTGTGTGTGTGTGTGCGTGTGTGTGTGTGTGTGTGTGTGTGTGTGTGTGTGTGTGTGTGTGTGTGTGTGTGTGTGTGTGTGTGTGTGTGTTTGCATGGA